TTGACCGATCAGGTAAGATTTGATCTGCTCTGTGGCAAGATTGAAGAAAAGATCTACTACAAGTATAACAATTATCTAGCAGTACGGTCACAAAAACGAAACAACCAAAAAGCTCACATTTGTTTCATTTACTTGTGATATCTTTGTAAATGTTAGTCTGTATGAATGAGTTGAATAAAATCCACATTGAATTTGTATCGAATAATACTATGAGATTGGGAATTCCGATTGTTTTTTGGCCAGAGGGACTACAATTGTAGCGGAAAGCTTATAAAAATACCTTACGGAAAGTGATGGAAAAAAATAACCGGTAGGCCATAAAGAATGAGCCTCTCAATATTCTCTATTTTTCTCGTATTCCTTTAAGACTCTAAAGTTAAAGTTTTTCTTACAAGATGTCCCACAAAATACTCTACAAAATCATACCTAAACTTTAATTTAAGAACTTCAATCAAGAAAACTAAGCAAATTATGCGAAAGGTGAAAAGATGAAAACTTTGTAAATGTGGTATTTTTTTCGGCTATCATTTCCGTAAAAAAGTGTAGTAAAAGTGAGAACTCAGTTTGTGTTTGGTACTTCCAAAAAATGTGCTCTTCTTCATGGTCCGTAAAAATATTTTTAAAACAGATCGTGTGCTCGAGAACGAAGTTTCAAAAATACGTCAGAAAATGACAACCCGTTTCTAGCAATGCACTCAAACAAGAAACGGAAAACTTCAACCCGATGATAAAATAAACCAGTCAGACGTGAAATACCTAGCCAAGAAAAACAGACTTTCAAGTAATATAAAAGAGACCGTACTCCTATTTGTACGTCTACGCCACAGAAAAATTGACATACAAAATAGCGTTTTACGCCGCTGCTACATCATATGAGTGACTGAAAAAAAGATTCTGATTAAGCCATTCGAAAGAGGGTCCTGAGTACTGAGTACAATAAATATAGTGTGGAAACTAACTCGTAAGTGAGAAAATTTGGCCCATCTTTTAATCTTTTGGTTCTTAAGGCTATTTTTGAAATATCTTTTCTGTACGGGAGAGTAAATATTTTTGGATATCTTTGCGTATTTGAAGGCAAAAGCAGCAAAATTATTATCAATTCACATTATTGTTTATTCACTGTTATTGAATTTTGTCGAAGTGAAAGTATATGATTATTGTCCTTCAACCAACAACGATTATTCTCTTGGATTTTATGTCATTTAACAAGCCGTTTCTAATAAAACTTTAATAAAAAACCTCAACATTACTATTTTCTCATTCTTTACTACTAGATGTATTTTATTTATAATATATTTTATATGGAATATTCGACAACATTATAAATATTCGATAAACTATGAAGGTTTAGATTAAGATGAATTACTTCCACTAAATGAAACTAATCACAGACAACAGCAAGAATATACAAATAGTAATAAACAGAACGTGCACAACTCTATAGATCGAATGTTAAATGAAATCAAAGTACTTAAAGATCTGATTGAGAAAGAGAGAGAGAATTCCCTCCCGTATCTCCTAACACTCATTCTGTAGAGCATACATTCATTCATTGAAACAACGAATGAATGTATACATCGTTGGTATTCATCTGTAATATTTTTTCCAGTATGTCAAGATCTTGTTTACGTTTATTTAATATTAGCGGGAATTCTAATGCTTTATTTTTTATTGCATATTCTTCTCACCAAAATCTTTATCATCATCAGCAGTTTACACGACATCATTGTTCAATCCAATCAAATATAACAATGAATTTACTCGAAAACAATTAATCGATTTTTCAATGTTGATATTCATTGGATTTGTAGCGAGAGCACTTCGATTTTTTCCATATAAACAGCCGAGAAATACTTCGAATGTCATGCGAAAATATGTCAAGTCAATATTTTGGAATTGTGAAGGTTTGATACAACATGGAAAAGAGTCGTTCAAACAAAAACTCAATCATCCACAGAAAGAAGAGAGAAAGAAACATTTAGTATAAGCTCCTTTTATTCGATCTAATATCAACTATACATCTCTAATAGCCACATTGTTTCCTTCTTTTTCAATCACAAAACATTGCCCATCGGATGAAATTCACTGCTAAATTCTAATTTCTCATTTATGAAAAGTATTTTTGCGCCTAAGCCATTTGAAAAAAATTATGTAGATAAACGTTTATGATCACTAGTCATTCAATTGAGATCGATTCTCTACCAGAAATTATTTATATTACCCGATCGGACGAACGGTATCGATTCGACAGAATAAATAAATTTTTTTCGAGGATGGTATAAGTGAACGTTGATAATCTTTTAACAATTCACATACGTCGAAATTAGATGAGTTGATATAAACAATGACAAAAAGGGAGAATTGAGTCGAGCAGTGAAGATATAAGCTTGCAAAAATGATAATCTTTTTATCTTTTGGACGAGCGACAGACGATCAAATACGATTATTAATCTAAATTAAATAAATGAAAAAGGTAAACTTAGTATACTTCAAATTTTTCATTACTCACACTATTTCAAACCTCGAAAACAATTTTCTTTTCTTCTTCATTATGTTAACAGATAGAATTGTAAAATATCAGTCAAAATTGCAAAACTACTTCGAGCCTTTAACTCTGACTCGGTTATATGTGATAAAGAGAGCGGTCACCAGTTTGATATTTACTTTCCATTTTTCTTTTAATTACCATTTGTCATTGTTTGGTTGTTCATCGAGATTTGAATTTTTAATTGTTTTTCGTCCACATTGTTCGAGAAGATGAGTAGTAGCATTAAGATCGAGATCGTTTAGAAGACAACTGTTATTTCAGCATCATCATCGAATCAGTCCATTGTCGTGGCACTTTTTGGGGACTTCAATTATTTGATGACAATTTTAAACAACAATCGTTCACTGTAAATACAGAACAGGATAGAAAAGTTTTTCACAGATTAAAAAGGAAAAATCCCACAACCCTATCGCATCAATAAACAAAATGTTAACAAACTTAAAGTAAATTACTCTGGAACAACAAAATTACTCTAATATTTTGATTGACACATATGGGGCTCTTTTTGAAAAGAATAGTGGTACTCTTCTATCACCATAGAATTACAAAAAGTTCGATTAATTTTAGGATATTAATATTTTTACATTAAACGTTTAAGTGTAAACTGTTCTCTCTCAGACATTAATAATCTAGCTTCATTTTGTAGAACAGACAATTCTGCATCGATTCATATACAACAGAACATTTTAAAACACGGGCATGATGTACTTTTAAATCAAAATATTGGAGATAGGTATAGGTTTCATCATTTTGTTACTTTTCGAAATTTTGATACAAATCACAAAGATATGAATGAATAAAATTTCTTTTGAGTCATTGCAGATGTAGAGCAAACATTTTTCTACAAAATGAGACGTCGGCAAGCTCTTTGCGATGGTTTTTTATGATTTTACGACAGGCACTGTATTTGAGGCCCGTCTCCTACTGGTTTTTACCTCAGTTTCGATGCATTGACCAAATGCGATAATTTAAATATGGTTGAATAGAGCATTGCAAGTTACATCTAGTGGCATACTTTTTTATCTTCATCAGTTCATAATAGAGAAAAAAATATTTTAATTTTGTAAAAATGGCTGGAAAATGGGTATTATGCATGGAAAAAGACGTTTTTCTCCTACTTTTCACAAATGAACCATTTTAGTTTTGTGCTTAAAAACTGCACATGACTCAACGAGAGCTACTCATATGAAAACTTGAGAAAAATTCTTTTCTCGTAACCTTCTAAAAATCATATATAAATGCACTCGCGGTACCTTTCACGAGCTTGTCTAACTTTCTTTTTAAAAAGATCTATTTTAAACCATTAAGAGTAATTTTTCTCAAGTTTTGATATGAGTAGCTACCCAAGCAAAAACGACCCAATTTTTTGGGTTATTTATCTAGATTCAGCTCCACGTACATCTAGATGCACGTGGACCTGAATCTAGATAAATAACCCAAAAAATTGGCTCGTTTTTGCTTGGGTAGCATTGAGTCATGTGCAGTTTTTAAGCACAAAACTAAAATGGTTCATTTGTGAAAAGTAGGAGAAAAATGTGAAAAATGATCACTGTTTAAAGTTATTTATAAAAACAGTCAGCAGTACTTTTATCGACTTTACACTGTTCACAAGGAGAAATCCATAAACTCGTCAGTGCTTAATTTTTATTATTTTTCTCGTTTATTTTGCTGCAAATTTTAATTTAATTTTTTTTGCTGGAGTGTCGGCCATACGCCGGAGCCAAACTAGTGCCGATCCACTCAGTCGACTATGGGCTACAAAACCGCAGTGGTCCCAGATTGGCAACACCTACAGAAAATATGGCCCCGGGTTGATATGAAATCGAAGTAATTACTATTTCAACTTAATCAAATTTGCGGGAAAAAGCTAAGTTAATCGAGTTAAAATGGTTGAAAGTTATAACTCAATTAACTTTTTGACTGAAAAGTTTGATTAGTTTTAACTCCTACACTGGTCCACGCACAGCATAAACACGTCATATTTTAAATTTGTTAGTTTTGGTGGTGAGACCTTTACTTTAACCCGAATATGTTCAATGTTCTTGAGTTACAACACACATTCTTCTATTGTTAGTTTCTGTGCATAAATCAATTGTGGTATTAAATAGTTAGTAATTCTTTTTGAATAATGCTGTAAAATATTAGATAGTGATAGAGTTTATTCAACATTGTGCCATTCTTGTGCTGAAAACAAAATGAAAAGATTCAATTATTTTCCATATCTTTTTCTTTTTTATTCATAGTTTAAATCGATTAGATTTTGAGACATTCAACCATTTGAAGAGTGCTTTATTTCGATTCATGCTCCGTGCAACAAAGAAACCAATATTGTCAGAAGTTTGATCGAAAAGAAAGTCAATATCATCCAATCGAACCTTTATTGGACATTCAAAGCAAAAAGATAAATACATATTCTACCAAAAAAATCAAATAACAACAAAAATTCGGACGCTTATTCATCGTCAATAGATCGTTTTTGATTGTCTTTTTCGAGACTAAGAATCAACTGTTCAAATTCATTTCGAACCGATGGATCTAATAAATCTGAAAATGATCGATTTAAATTCCGACTTTTAATTAATTCAATTACATCGCCACAATCTTTTCTACGATCAGTAGGCAACCGTTGATACGATGCTAATTTTAAATCGATGAGTTTAGGTAATGAAATAACATTCATATCATCAATATGTTGTCGATATTTTTCCGGATTGGGGAACACAATTGGTCCAACTGAACCATCCCCAGGATAATAAATAAATAAACAAAGTATAAAACAAACAAGCTTGTTGAATCATTCAATACGCACCTCTCCTTCGATAATAACATCAACCGATATTCCTGTGCTTGTGCAGATAAACTTTTTTCTTGCGCCTTGGAATTTTGGTTTCAGACCAAGGTTAACAAGCCTTTGCATAAATTTCTCATGATCCTAATTAGAAAATAGTCACATTCAGTAAGATACTTATTAATTGAAAAAAACATATTTACAGCTCTGGACACTAAAATGTCACAGTCACGAGTGGTTCTTTCGTAACAGTGTGCATAAACGGCTAATCCACCAATAATTGCATAATTGATGTTTTCGCCTTTGAGATGATTAGTAAGTGACTTAATCGTTTCCCAGACAGGTCCATCTTTGGTCAAGAACAGTGACAGGTCACGGAACGGAGATCTCGGTTTAAAATTTTGTATTAGATATTTAAGTAAAAACCTTCCCATTTTTTTGCAAACTTTCTGTAAGAAAAAATCAATATGCTCTCACTAGTCGAGAAACAGACAAGAATCTTGTTTCTTGTCTATTCAGAGAAGCCGCTTATCTTGCTTGTTCAGACAAGGACCTTGTTTTCTTGTGGTTAGTAGCAAGTTAGTTGTTCCTTGCCTCAACAGACAAGAATATTGTTCAAGCTAACATAGCACTTAAGTTATAATGATTATTTTGAGCGATCAAATGTGCGAGCATTGCTGATTTATGACAGTGTTGCTTTAAAGTGGATTATCACAGTTTTTAAAGTTTGCTCTGACCTAGTTACTTTGTTTTCAGTAAATAGGATACCGATTGATTTTTTTTAGAGGCTTTTGCAATGTGTTTGTTTTTAGTTTCTTATCACTTGCCTTCTCTAGAGTGTCTTAAAATGAACGTTCTGCCTTTTCGTTGATTTGTTTCACATAAGACAGTTCTCTTTGAGTATTAGGTTAGAACACTATTTTTTATTAAATTTTTTTTACAGATATTTTGTTTCATTGCATTGTAGAGTTGTTTGACTAGCTTGTGATTTTGCCTGCTTATAGAATTTTATATTTTTGTACATTTCATGATTGATATTTCGTTTTTAACGAAATAAACTTTAATAAATAGTTTGTGCTAGAGTGGGATTCTTGCCTGCACAAGCAAGATCTGTAGAAACGGGAGTAGAGCTCCTACAATGCAAGTCGCTTGTCTGAACTGGCAAGCATGCTTCCTGTCTGAAGCAGCAAGTAAGAATCTTGTATGAAATTATTTTCTTGTCTTTACAGACAAGATAACGCTACGAGAGACTTGTCTGTCGATACAAGACAGCGATCGCAGACAAGATGCTTGTAACACAAAATAATCAGCTCAAGAACTTGTCTGCAGAAGCAAGGAACAAGATTCTTGTCTGTGGAGACGCAAGTTTCTCGACTAGTGTAGTTATTATAGTTCTCGCTCATTGTTACGTTTGATATATACACTGGTCGACGTTCTTGTGGGTATTCTTGCAAGATTCTTGTCTCTTGCCATTTCAGACAAGAATCTTCAATTTTGTCTGGATAGATCAGACATGATTCTTCTTTTAATTCTTTACTGATTTTTCATCTTTTTTCGTTAAAGATTCTTGTCTGAAGTGGCAAGATTTGTTGATGACGAAATCAACAATTTGTTTTGTCGATTCCCCTGCTATATATAAGTTACATAATATAGCTCAATACTATACATATAGATGTCTTTAAAAAGTCTTTTAAATCTCATAAGATTAGTGTCAACAGACAATCAAGTCTTTACATGTGCCTGTATTGGCATCAGAGCGTCCAGCTCCTATGTATATGAAAAGAAAAAGAAAAGAAGACGGAAAATGGATTATACATGCATTCTATTTATTTGCAGGATTCTTTTAAGAATTACAAGACAAGAATCTTGCAGAAAATCGCTTTCTTGTGCATTCAGACAAGAATCCGTCTCGCGATTCTTGTATGAACTGACAAGAAAGCGATTTTCTGCAAGATTCTTCTGATAAAAATACTATTTTACAAGATACTTGTCTGAAATGCCAAGAAACAAGAATCTTGCAAGAATACCCACAAGAACATCGACCAGTGTAGCATGACATATGTTCTTACGAAAAAAATGCTAAGGCGAAACTTTCACTATCACTCATTTCATAGAATCTCTAGTATCTAATACTTTCACGCTTCGCAGTTGAATAGAGGACATTCTGCTGAATCGAATGATGTAAAAATAAGCTAAATTTTGATTTTGGATTTTAAAAATAATCATGCCCAAATCTCATTGAACATTGTTCAAATTTCTCCCAAAGAATTCTATATTTCAGGCGTATCTTTTCATTGTGTATCAAACCTTGCGAGGTCAAAAAATGATCAAAATTTCGCCTTGAGCGGTCCAAGTCAAAAAAACAAAATCGCAATCTCATCGGACATTTTCTGTTAAGTGAAAGCTTGACTTCCAACAATACAATCCAGAAATTTTTGGTCAAAGAAAGTACTGTCCAAAGGACCAGTCCTTATAAGACTTGAAATCGGTCCATCACATTCTGTTCCTCCAATATATTCAAAGCACGTTGAAACCGTCCTATGCAGTGATTTTGACTCTTCTGAGTGTTTCCAATTAGAGAATTGTCGGTACCTCGGTATCGGTACTGGTACCGGTACTGGTTTGGCACAGTACCGAAAATTTTCGTTCGGTACCCTGTGTATGTATCGAATCGTTCGGTACCAGGGAAAGTACCGAAAAATTCGATACTTACGAAAAAATTAAGGAACGAGAGTTTTCGCGGTTTACGGTGGAAAAAGCTTCCTATGAGTTCAAAAATAGATTTAGATAATGAAAAAAACTTGAGTACTTTAGGGACGGTTCCAATGGTTGGTACCGAACGCTTGATACCATTACCACACAAATACCGGTACCGACAATTACCTACTTTCGATTAGATACCGACGAAATCTAGACGACAAGAAACACTCCCGTCGACAACGAATGCCACATTCATTTTGATATGAGAAGTTTTATCAGTGGTGAATTCTGCATAATATTGGTCAATATGGTCTTGTTACTTCGTATTTTCCCATTATGAATGAAAACTTTTCTTCTAAACTCTGTAATATATTCAAATAAAGTACAAGAACCTGCATCAATCCATATTCGTGGCTCATCGATCGGAGTCTCAGCTAAGCAGTGGCATGATCAATTACAAAACACAGTATTTATGTGAGCTAATGTTGCTCTTCTCTTGTACAAACACAAATACAGAAAGAAATTATTTACCATTTGTTAACGCTTAAGCTTTGTTTCATTGAAAAGCAGTGGTTTCAAGCTACTATGATAGTGATTTTAAAGCAGAACTGGGACGGTGTTTCGCTTATAAAGCTACCAGGCTCATCAAGTTTTCTGTTAACACATGCTGTAGGGCTTTTCAGGACGCATCGAATTGTTTATTACACTAGACTAAATATTGGATACTTAGGGAGAAATTTTCATTGTACGTTCGACTGATGGTGTGATGGGAGTGTTCTTGTCGTTAGATTTCGTCAGCGTCTAACCGGAAGCGCTCAGAATAGTCAAAATCACCGCATAGGATGGTTCAACGTGCTTTGAATATATTGGAGGAACAGGATGTGATGGACCGATTTCAAGTCTTATAAGGACTGATTCTTTATATTTTATCGGTTTGTTTGAACTCAAACCTATATCGATTCTACTTATTGACAACTATCTTCAAGTTTTTTTCATGTCGAGATTTTTGCGACAGCTTTTTCATGAGTGAACTGTGTTTCTACCTAGGAACTACGTATATCATCCTTATTTTGTTCAAATTTCTCTAGAATCTTCCTCGAGACTCTACGTCAGAAAATACATTAAAATAAATGTCATCAATCATTCGGTATTTACGTTTCCGCTACGTTTATTAATGCATACTGTTCTTTTTGCTAATAAATCAAGCAATTAAAAAGATATGTACTCTAAACACAAGTATGTTGCACGATGCAGCTATTGCTGTTGAATAATTATAATCTATTATTTTAATCAGATTATTGAAAATATATGGAGGACGGTGTAAACAATCATTTAATAAATATACAAAAATAACATCAGAAAATCATTAAAAAAAATGTTTATTGCACAGAAAAAAAGGAAGAAAAAAATTGTTTACTTATAACATCTTCACATTGTTCGTTTATCGATCGACTGAAATAGAAAAGAGAAAGAAATGAACGTAAGACATATTAACAAGTTCATACTCAAAAATTGAAATTAGAATCAGAATATTTCTCCTAAAAGGATGCAAAACCTTTTTCTAAAAACTTGAAATATTGTAAGATTACCTAAGAGATAATGTGTTTCTTGATTCTTGCAAGATTTCTTAAGATCTTGTATCGTAAGATTTTGCCACGATACACCAGATCTTGTAGACAGATTTCACCTCATACTATTTAGTTGTCATTGGTTAAGGGGGCAAATATAAACAGAATTTAAATTACACAAGCGAGAAAAACGTAACAACAAAAAAAGATTGAGCATCGCTACATAGGATATACAGAAAACTAGATGCAATATCGTTTTTACTTAAGTTCTTCATCATTTTCGAGATTTGTTTACGAAAGTACTCTATCCATTACATATTTGAAACTGTGCAGGAAAAATATACATAACTCTACAGTAATGAACGAAAGATTAACTGATCTTTGACAAAGTAGATATTTAGATAAAAATGAAGGACACAAGAACGATCAGACATGTGATAAATGTGTTGAAAAATAAACGATCATTTATTCCTATCACATGGAGCGAACAAAATCTCGTACCATAAAATATCAGAAAAATCAGTGCAACTATGCAGACAATAGATTATCTCCTTTCTCTTACCTGTTCAATATTTTCCATCTCGGTAATTAAACGATTTAATTCTGTTTCATCTAATTCTAAATAAATATTTTTTGGTTTATTTTGTTCGAGTAATTGTAATTTTAGATTCAATAATGGTAAACGACATTTAGAATAGTTTTCATCAACCATAGCAATCTAAAACGAACGAGAATTTACTTTTACAATTCATAATTATAAACAATCGTTGTATACTCTTATGTTCCAGTCAAAATCTTTTAAATAAGATTCTTCCATATGTTGACTACTTTGGTACAAATGATAACGTTCAATATCAAATTTATATTCTTTAATAAATTTCTCATAAACCAGTTGTAAATTATTTGGCAACTCATTAAATTCCTAAAGAAAACATGTTAAAGATTGATTATTTGAAAAGTCCAGCGTTCATTTTCTCACAGTATTCATTATGGAAACCGTTATTTTGAACTATATTCTGTTATATGCGAGTTATTTGACAAATGTTTCACGCTTACTCTTTAATGTTCCTTTCGTCGTAAAACAGATCAGCAGCATTACGATTTATCTATTTATCCTTTCTATTTACTTTTAATTGGTGAATCGCTTCTGATGTAGCTGATGGATTTGTGGATCTCAATAACTGAATTAATTTTAAACGTGTTTGGTAGTATGTTGAGGTGGAGGGTTCTACAGTTAATCTTGTCGGCGACACACGATTAAATGCTTTATCAAGAATGTTGCATAACAACTGAAACATAAAAAACCAAACGTCGCGTAAAAGATATAATATGAGAAAGTAATAACTCACATTGATAAAATTTTGTTCGGATAATGCTGTTAAAGTATCCTCATCAACCATTCTTCTTCCAGTAATGTTGATCTAAAAGTGAAAACATAATACGAACAAGTCTAACGAGTTTTTTTCATATCCTTCTCAGTCCTTCGCCAAAAAAAACTAAGCTTCAATCCAGTCCCAGATGACGAAAAGCATTTCGATTTCACTTCTGGGATGTTCTAAATATCCTAAGACTAAGACTAGTCTATTGAAGGTCCACAGCCTATAATAATTCAAACTAAGCAACAAATCAATGATGATAGGCGATGAACAAAAAGAAAACAAACAAAAGAAAGCATGAAGAAATAGCATGTTCAACAAAAGGCATGAATAAATAAATAATTAAAAGACAGAGAAAAAGTAAGTAGCATGGGCTTTTTGACTAACAACAAGCCTGAATTTTACTGGAAGAGATACTGAAATAGTTTTTTTGTAAGACTTTAAAGAAGAAATAACTGACTCTGGAAGTTTATTCCAGTCAGTGATAGTTGAATAGGAAAAGGAAGAAAAAACTATGGGTCGTATTACGAAAAAACTGTGATAATCCACTTTAAAGCAACACTGTCAGAAATAAGCAATGCTCGCACATTTGATCGCTCAAAATAATCATTATAACTTAAGTGCCATGTTAGCTTGAACAATATTCTTGTCTGTTGA